AGGGGGAAAGAGGAAGGAATAGAGAATTCAATGTCCTGGAGAAAGGAGCTGGAAAGGCGTTGGGTATTGAAATCGTCGTGCTAAATCCACGCCGCCTATGCGAGCAGCCTGGTCCGTATCGTGGGTTACAAATTCGCTTCACGTAGTTGCGCGTCGACGGAATGAAAAAAAAGTAAAGGGCGTAGCGACGGTTCGGGTAGAGATGGCGAGAGAGGAGGATAGACGTTCCGCGCTCAACGGGCTCTCGTGAAAAATCTGCATGGATTCATGAAAAAAAGAAAAAAAAATCCGACCATCACGTATGTACGTCGCCGGAAGCCGTGGGGTAATGCTCGTGAGGTCCTAAATTGAAATATCGATCATGAAAGGGTGAAACGGGTCGACTACGATTTACATCATTTTATCTTGAAAAATGATTACGTGTTGGAACGCACGTGGAAAATTGTGCTGTCTTAGAGGATTATCACTCGATTAGGATTCATTAAAGTTATTATGCTTTTTTTTTTGTTATTTAACGTGTTCATATTTATATAACGTACGAAGTTGTATTTTTTTTTTTTTTAGTCAAATGGAAATTGTTTTATTCTCAGGAAAACGTTGAAAGTTACGAGTTAAAAATCATAAAATCGAACCATTATCCTTATGAGAGTTTCGAAAAGTTTCTGAAGGTTGTGACTTTCGAACCGTTTGAGATAAAGTAATGATCAAGTACCTATATCTGCTTTTCCGTAAGTTTTTACTGCAATCGAAATACATTACTCAATTGGCAAAAATGTAGTTTTATCCAATCGATCAATGTTCCTTGTATCTGAAAAAACACGCTTGCCTTGAGATTGTTTTAAATAATCATATTAATATAATTTTCTTGAATTCTTAAATTACTTAACATTTTTTTGTTCATCTTCCTAATGTCGACGATCGACGCCTTATATATTACTCTATTCCAGAAAGCGTAAAAATAATTTTACCATATAAATGAAACTTACAATGCTTCCGTATTCGAGCGAATTTCAACGAAACTCTGGCACCCGTCAAAAGAGTCATTCAAAAGAGTGTGCCGCACATTACTTTTCAATCCTACCCTAGATTTTGATCCATTGAATTTGCATCGATAGAGTTGCATGGAAATCGTTATCGGTAACCGGTAGCCAGTGCCCGTTATCAATATCGACTCGGAGC